TGAACAGTCTCGGGCCTCTGATGCTGATAGAGTTCTCTCTCAGAATACTTATTGCACATCTGTTTTTCAATGGGGGTATTCTGCACATCCAGCCATGCCTTCTGGTCTCTTGTGATATTTGTGTGTGCAGATTTGGAACCAGCTCTAATATTTTCCATGTATAAATTATTATGTATCTTTACTGCCTGTGCCCTAGAGAATACAGATTTAGGCATTTTTAGTCAGTCTCTGTAATTTAGATGGTTTATCGAGAGAATTCTGGCAGTGAAGGATCTCTGCATGTTCTCCAGGTCAGCAATTTTCCAGCTTTAAACGGGGCTGTTATTGTGCAACAATATTCCACTCTAGAAAGCACTAGCACCTAGAAAAGTATCATTGGTACAGCATCTCTTGTTTGAAAGGTTCTGTCATTTTTCTTGCAATTCTGACTGCTACTTTATTGTGTTCTTTAAAAGTAAGATCTTCTGACATGATTACTCCCCAATCCTTTATATTCCTTTTATGTTCTATGGTATGATTTGACTGCATTTTGTACATGGTTTCCGTTTTTATATTTTTTATTTTCCAATGTATTTGTGTGTATATGTATGTATGAACACGATGTACTGAACGGGGTGAGAATAGCTTGAGCTACCTCATCCCTTTGTGTGTATTTTACCTCAATAAACTTATTTCAATTTCAATTTCAATTTATAACAAAATTGACACGAGGTTTGATAGTTTAAATAAGGGTTAATTAATTCATATTTCACAGATGTCTTAATAGTGAAGTCAATGCAGTCATATAAGCAAAATATTTATTTGACCTTTTGGTTAGGTTTGCAGTCTCATAATCAAACCGGAGGGGATCGGGCTCTGTGATCCAACAGGATTAAGAAGTCATGTGAGAACAACGTTTGTGCTATGTTTTATTATATCTATGTATAAACATCTTATATTTGTACAAGAACATGACTTTTAACAAGCAAATGGATGCAAGCTGCAGTAAAGGTCAAGAACCAGTGACTTAAGTGACCGAACACTTAGTCTATCTGCTATCCTTCGGTCACTAGAGGAGCTTAACAAGACAAACACTTCCGGGGGTCGTCACAGCACGTCTCCTCAGCCAGGCAAAGAAGTTAAAGATAAAATTATTTATAGAGAAAGCGGAAGGGAAGGGAAAGTGGGGGAATACAAAGAAACACTAAGGAAAAGAAAAAATAGAAAAGTGATAGGAAAGACGGGTAGAAAAGCAGGGGGGAGAAAGAGAACAAAAGTGAGAGAAGAGAGAAAGTGTAGAGGTAGGAGAGAAAAAGAAAGCAGAATAAAGTAAAAAATGAGGAAACGGATATTTAAATAAGAGAAAGAAAGGGGCACAAAGAAAGTTAGGAAAGAAAACAGTTCACACAGAGAAAGAATACAACCAGCAGGAAGGCAAAGTGGACATTAAGCAAGGGGGAATAAATTGAGGAAGTGGAAGTGGGCGACAGAAAGCCAGTGGATAAAAGAGAAAGCGAGGGTGTGATGAGAAAGGAAGCATAGCGATAATTAAAATGAGTAAAAACTGAAAATGAGAAAGCAATGGATACAAAGAAGTTAGGAGAAAGGAGTAATGAAACGACGAAGAGCGGCGGCTCCAGAATATATCTGGGGCTTTGGGGCAACAGTCCGGTTTAGGGGCAGCAGTCCGGTTGAGGGGCAGCAGTCCAGGGTTTAAGGGCAGAAGTCCGGTTGAGGGGCAGCAGTCTGGCTGAGGGGCAGCAGTCCGGTTGAGGGGCAGCAGTCCGGTGGGACTGCTTGGAAGATCTGGCCTGAAATCAGGTCAAAAACATAAATATTACTACTACTCTCAAATTAAAAGCTCAGATAACTGCTACAGCAGCAACCTGTTCTCAGGGAAATACACTCACGGGAACGGATTGAGAACGACTACATTATTAGCACTGTTATCTACTCTATCCATGGTCAGGTTAGGTTAGAGTTTTATTAGGTTCGATTTCAGTACGTTTGTTGACGTTACTACGATGTATTATTGACAGTAATGTGAAATATGAATTTCGAAAAACATTTCAGTGCACCCCAAGCATTTTGTTAACAGAAAACCAAATTCTTAAAAAACGTTTTTAGGTTGTGGCTAAATACACTTATATTTTATACTAACGATTTATAATACAATACAGTTATAACTTGAGAGTAATCTATTTGCGACAAAGATTAATTTGGCAGTTTACATATAGATTATTACTGGAACTGTAATATGTTTTCTTACCATCACAAATATCTAGATAACGATCCAGGCCGTTTGAGAAGTGTGGGGGGGGGGATGGAAGGTTTCTCATGGTAATGGATTTGGTCTGAAGACGGGCTCTACAGCCAACTCGTCCTCTTAAAATAACGTCGCTTTTTGCTGGTATACGCGCTAAGCAAAAATGGAGATAATTCAACTTTTATAACCAACAGCCAACCAAACCCTGCCGCTGATTGGTTGCCATTCACCCTAAAACTCACCCCATTGATTAATATTTTGCGAGTCTGAAGTGTCAATTATCAATGGCCAACAGCCACTCCTTCACTTTCCCAAATACGAATGAGTCTCTAATGAACACCTTCAACACTGCTAGTGTATCCTCAGGATGGATATAGGGTCCGCAAATAGTCACTCGATGAGTATGGGATCCACTACCACTTGTAGGATGTTAATGGAGTCCACTACCAACTGTTGGATGAGTATGGGGCCCAGTACCGCCCACAGGATGAGTATAGAGTCGACTACCGCCCACATCTGTGCGGCGGTGGACCCCATACTAATCCTGTGGATGGTAGTGAACCCCATACCCATCCTAAGGGCGGTTGTTGGCTCCATACCTGTCCTACAGGTGGTAGTGGACCCGTTGCCCATCCCGTGGATGGTGGTGGACCCCATACCCATCCTGTGGGCGGTTTTGGGCCATATATCCATCCTCTTGGTGGTAGTGGACCCCACACCCATCATGTGGGTGGTAGTGGACCCCCCATACCCATCCAGTGGGTGGTAGTGATCCCCGAACCCATCCTGTGGACAGTGGTGGACCCCATGCCCATCCAACAGGTGGTAGTGACCCAATACCTATTCAACAGGTGGAAGTGGACCTCCCCCTATTAATCCTTTTGGTTGGCTGTGGACCTCTTGTATCTGTTCTGTCCCATTTTGTTGTGCAATTTGTAGACTGTCTCAATTTACAGAATGATTGTATGTTTTGCTTTCTTAATATCCCTTGATGTCCAGTATTAGAATCCTTGGAGAGTCCGATACCTCTGATATCACTCGTCTGTTCTCAAATTGGCATCTCAAGTAATATTTAGCACCTTTTGCATGTCTAGTCAGTGGTACATTATTTTCCTGGCTTGGCACCTTTTGAAATTATACTGTACTGTACTTTACATATCTGCTTCCATCAAAGCTGTTATCAGCCCATCAAAACTTTGTATTTTTGGTAAAGCATTCTTTTTAAAAATGCTGACGTCAGTTTGTCAGAATAGCTTAATTTTATAAACTTGTTATAAAGCTTTATATAAGAATGCTTTTTATAAGAATGTTCCACACATTTGATTTCTGAGATTTATTTACCCAATTTTATTTTATTGACAACCTTTCCAGTCTCAACACAAACATTTTGTTACAATCACCTTTAACAATGTTATTCAAAGTCGTTCTTATTTATATTTTGAACTTACCTTTTTGATTAAGTTTTTCCTATCCTTTATAAAGTGAAAGATTTAGGCACTACGTTTCCTTTTTAGGCTACAATGTTTCCCTTACATGGCTACTTTGTATGTGCTAATTATTATTAATATGATTTTGATGAAAGGACCAGTGCTGAAAATGAGTTATTCAGTTATTGGAATTGAAAGTTATTAGTTATTCAAGTTTGACTGCTTTCCTTTCTTTCATGTAAACCAATCCTACCTTTACGGCAGGTATATATTAAACTAATCATTCATTCTTTACTGGAGATAATTTTTATTACTGTGTATATATAATTTCTGTACAATGTGGAAGTTGGCACAAGGCCACTGGATTCTGGACACACATCCTCAAACCAGTTACCAAGAAGACTCTCTGGATACCACAGGTAACCAGGGGAGACTAAAAAGAGACCAGGTGAGAAACAAGTTTTGTCAGTTTTTTCCATGAAAGTCTGGTACAAATTAAGACAGGCAGCACAAGGTTAGGAGAAACCAACTTACCTGGGAGGTCACAAGGACGAGACTAGTAGACCAAACACACAGTGATTGATAGCTCGGTAGTCTATTCTGTGGCTCATAGCTGGCAAGTAATGAACACTCAACAGTGGCGGAAAAAAATACAACACAGATGGTAAGGACAAACAAAAATGAGCGCATTACATCAGATTTGGTAGTTACAATATGAAATAGGCTGCCAATACAATTAAAGATATTCTATAAAAAAATCAAGAAAAAGCAAGGTACAGGGAGCTGGTCGGCCGAGCGGACAGCACGCTGGACTTGTGAACCCGTGGTCCTGGGTTCGATCCCAGGTGCCGGCGAGAAACATTGGGCAGAGTTTCTTTCACCCTATGCTCCTGTTACCTAGCAGTAAAATAGGTACCTGGGTGTTAGTCAGCTGTCACGGGCTGCTTCCTGGGGGTGGAGGCCTGGTCGAGGACCGGGCCGCGGGGACACTAAAATGCCCCGAAATCATCTCAAGATAACTCAAGAAGTACTACATGGCCTAGGTTTGTGAAATGGTAAAGCAACAACACTGGAGATGTAGAAATTATTGAAATTAGTATCAATATATATAAAGGCAAAGTTGTTAGCCATGTACAAAAAGCAAAGTGTGGATGATGTAAAATATCAGCTATACGACAATTTTAGAATCATATTTAGCACTCAAACACCCTGCTCCATCAGTTAATGTTGGACTTAATACTGGGTAATGGAATCTCTGCATTATAATGTTTGGAAATTCATTTTCATAGTTAAGGGCAATTTGTGCGTGTGTGCGTGTGTGTGTGTGTGTGTGTGTGTGTGTGTGTGTGTGTGTGTGTGTGTGTGTGTGTGTGTGTGTGTGTGTGTGTATTTATATATATCACGCCTAATAACCAGAACCACACTTCTTGGCCTAGTATGCAAGGTCTGATGTGCCCAAAAGGCAGAATAATCTTCAAATATTTCTTTCCAAATATATTGTTATTGTTAGAAAAGAACTAATTATATGGAAAACATGAATTACTAAGTTATATCAGGTTAGGTAGGTTATGTTTGATCAAATTTCCGTTAGTTTTCACTCAACAAAATTTCAATCATATATAATACAAGGAAACTATTATTTCATTAGCAAAAATGTTGGAAAAAATTCAATGTCACGAAAATTTGGCTTGTTAGGCAACTCTGGCTATTAGGTACAACATGTAGAAATACAATGTGTTTGGACGAAACAAATGACAATTATAGTCATTGAAGGGGAACAGTTTGCCTCATGGAATACATCAATATTTTCAAGTCTCATTGTCCATTTAACTCAAAATATTGCTATACATACTGAGGAAGATTTACATCTCATGTGAAGTGACAGCTGAACAGTCAACATAAATGGAGTTTCAAGGACTCCTTACTCTTTATAATTTTAATTGGGGAAACAAATTTGTATACGAATCTTTTTGCCATTTAAAACTCCTTGGTATAACTTAAGTAATAGAAGCCGAATGCCTGTCCTCGTTTAATAAGATCAGTATCTATAAGCAATATACAGTATTACCATTAACAAAATGGGGCCTACGGAGACCAACTTAAATTAAAAAAAAAAATGTTAGGTTACTACTATGAAACCCCATTGACTGTATAATAGTAATGCTTAATGAGTGAAGATTAATATATCTTTTAAACTGGAGCTCTATGCACAATGCCAACACAGTGTTGTATGTACTACTCCAGCAATTTTCATAATTATAATATTGAAGAACTGAGGGTTTATAAAACCTAATGCTTAACAATAACCCAGGGGTTAGTTTTCTTTTTTTCCATTTCCTATTTTTTTTTGTTCCTTTTGTTGGGGAAAGGAGAGGGTAGGCTGAAGTTCCATTTTACAGGTTGCTTATCACTCACATGCCAAATTACATTTAAATATTATAGTGATGAGAGATCTTGATAAAGCTTTTTAAATGTTGATATTTATGAAATTAAGAAACAGAAAGACTTGTGGATATATCATGGTCATTGTCTTGTTGAAAGCAAGATATTTGCTTCGTTTCAGTGACCAATCATATAAATTTATGTAAATGCAACACAAACTGTAAAAAATCTATTACCCGTAGGATCCTCTGCCTTAATCCCCGAGGGCATGCACTGCGTTCTTAACAGGTACTCGTGAATTTTGAAAGCTAACCGTATTATGTAATGAATAATAAATTCTTGCAGGTACTAGAAATGGGCTCTTAGACTTTACATGTATACAATTTCTGACTAAGTCACACAAAAAGATCACATCTGGATCTTAAATTTCATAATAGAAATTACACATCTTTACTATAAAATTATTTTTAAAGCAGAGGAAACCCTTAAGTAGTTAGAAACATGAAAGAAGAGTTCAATTGGATGGATCTATCATACATAAAGAAATCTGGCAGACAGTTACATGTGCTTATTATCTCATTACGTAGAAAAACATCCACTCATCCAGTTTTCTTTTTACAAGACTCATAATTGCACATAGCAGCAATATGGATAGAAAACAGTCAAAGAAAAAGAAAGAACTTTTTTTATGCACATTATCAAACACATTAAACCATAAAAAATAAATTGTTACAGTAAAAATGTAAAAAATTCCTGACCCCCTACTACATTTCTGTAGATTCAGGGTCAGCTTAACATCTTTACAAAAAATACAAAAACTTATCCAATGTACAATATACACCTTTACACATTTGGTTTCATAACTAACTGGTCAAACATAAAATGAATACCATCAAGTATCCACAGCTGTCAGTTTTCTATTGTAGAAATTGACATGCAATCACCAGTTATCCATGGTAGAGCCTGGTAGAAATGACATGATGGCTTTGTATACCTTGGAGGAATAGAGGTCCCAGGTCTGGGATGTATGTGTCTCCCGAGCAGTGGGTTCCCATGGCATTCTGGGAGGGTACTTCTCTCTCAGTGAGTCGGCAGTAGTGGTATTTCTAGGTGTGATTGTGTCTTCACTGGTAAGTAATCTAATTGCCCCTACTGTGTTGCCCTCTTCAATTTTTTGGGGTCACTTGGGTTCTAAGTTTAAAACTGTCGTTGAAACTCTCTGGTCTGCCATGGCAGTTTTTGTGTTGAGGAGGGATGGGGATCAAGTTGTCAGCTCTGGGAAAATTATTTATTGCCCCCAGTGACTGATTAGGCTAGCGACTTGCCTCCTCTTGCAGGTACGCCTAAGTGTACCTGCCAGATAGAAAGCAAGTCTTTGTAACAGTCTTATTTTTATAAAAAAAGCTCAAAGGTGCAGAACTCCCAGCCTTCATCTCTGCTCTTTCTAGCTTCTGCATCAGAAAAGCCTGAAGCCTCTTGCAGCTCATGACTAGATAAGCAGCTCAGTGCTTTATAGCAGATACATGCACTGAAGCACACCAGTCAAAAGCACAAAAACAAACCCAGAGCCACCCTCCTTACAGTCCTCCACCCAACACTTCCCATCTTTTTTCATAATACTTCCTACTCATCTTTAGCCAATTAAAATGGGGAAATGGCACAATTATAATATTGATTTCAAATCAATATAAAGATAAAATCCAGACCTGAAAATTGACTTGCCTTTTTGTATGCGAATGTGGATCTTCAGGCGTTTTAAATTATGTAGACTGGAATGGGTGGTTTGCTATCAAAATCAAACCAACAAATGATCTAACAAAAATTTAGTAGACAAGTTCAGTATAAGACAACAAGTCACTTGTTTGTCAAGCACCTTTTCTTTGCTTATGAAGTAGAATTAAATCAATGATTCTCAAAATTAAGTTACATATTAAAATATGTTTGACAATAGTCTCCATCCAAAATTGAAACTAAAAAATGCTTATATGAAGTAGGCATAATTCATAATGACATGTAATTTTCAATAGTGTTTATGTTTATTTCATAAATTATATAATATAAGTCCATAATATTTATTATCAAAATATACTTTCATGACTTATGGCTCAACTTCTTCGCTGAACAAGGCTTCCATCTGATCATCTGCATCCATTTCCTCATCCGATGACATCTGAGCAAGTTTCTTGTTATCTTCATTGACACTTTGTGATGACTCGTCAAGTCCCCTTTTCTTCCTTAAAGATGCCTGAGCCAAGAGGTAACTCAGCATGTGTTCATTGTGGCTGCACCTATTTACAGAAATCAAGAAAATAAGTAATCATCAAAAGAAGGCACAAAGTCTGGAAGACTATTTAGCATCATCTGTGAAACATTTATTTAAAAGGTCCTAAATATTACTCAGTATGGCAATACAAGACAAGCAATGTCACAGGTTTCACCGAGGATCTTAAACGAAAACAAGAAAACTATTTGCAAACTGTAAATATACATACTTGGTACCTTCCAACAAACAAAACTATATATATAGAACAAGACTATGCATAACTGAAATTAGAAACAATAATTTGTTTATCAACACATGTCCTAAAACAAAAACTTAAATTTACCCCCATCTATTTTACCAACATTTATATTGGTAACATAATAAAAAAACAAAATTCTAAACTGGCCTACAATTATTTTCCCTTCCTTTCAATTTTGGCTCACATAAGCCTCAAAAGCCAACCTCTCAGTCTGTAAAAACATTCACACCTTTCATTATCTTTTGTTCCTCATCTATTACGCTTACATTAGTCACACGCTGCCTGCACTTGCTTCTGCCTTTGTGGCACTGATATATACAGTATAGAAGGAAAATATGAATAAGAATGAAAAAAAAACTGCAGAAGGCTTATTGGCCCATACAAGGCAGTTCCAATTTATATTCACCCTAACTTATGCATATACAGTACATGTCAAACCTATGCTTGATCAATGATACTTACACTTTGCTTAGATTAGTGTGATGTATAGATAAAGCCTTCTGGAGAGCATTAAGAGTCGTCATAATATGTGGGGCTCTAGTCTTGAGGGTTTGACCATGCTGGGTGACCAGTGCTGTAGCCCAGTGTGAATAAAGACCAATATGGGGTGTGGATTCTAGGGCTTCAGACAAATAGCTGAGTATCCCTTCTACGTAGATTTCTGCCAAGTTACTGACCACCAATTTTACTGAAATACACCAAAATTCATTAATACTACATGCTTATAATATGCATAGCCTGGGTACTGAAAGAACACGTACCTTTTGAAATACAAAAAGACTATGGATATAATAAACACTACATATCCCACTCACGTACTGATAATGTTATTCTGCCACTCATCTTATATACGACAATCTATTATTATGCTATCTTTGTGCCAATGCCAAATATTCATGTACTGTACTGTATATATGGTGTATGGAGCTAAACAAAATTATTTGTTATTATTTACAGACCAAATATATAGTCACAAAAGAAAACTTGCATTCTTAACCTAATATATTGCAGAATGTCCTATATAGACTGACTTCTGACTCCACCCTGGGTTAAAATATGCTAATCTCTGTAAAAAATGATCTGATGAACACTTGATGATATACTGAACCTTTACCCAAGATTCATTATGGAATATAACAAGTATATGTAATATAAGTAATATAACTTGAGCTTGTAAAAGCACCTAGTATGATTGAGCACATACTACTATGTGCTCAATATCTCACTATGTACTATAGCAGCTCTCTAGTCCTGACCATGTAGGACAGTCAAAAATATACACAGTACAGAGGAACATCGATACTGGAACTGTTCCCAAGTCGAACATTTCTGCCCTCAAACATGATGTTCATGCTCGGTAGTTGATCGTTTTCTTAGCACTCAAATGTAAACACAAGTAATGGTCAAGTCAGTTTCCCAGAAGCTGTTGTTTGATGTACAACCCCACTAAATTTCTCTGTAAACTTTCTCGTGTTTTCTTGGATATTTTTTATATTCATAGCATATATAAGTCAACATGGCACCTATGAAAGTTAGAGATAAGAGCCAAATAGAAAATTTGTTTGAACTATGATAGCGATGAAAAAGGAACTCAGCAAAATATGAGTGGTATGCTTGTACATGTATGTCCTTGCAACTGAGTTTGGTATGCTTGCATTCTTGTAAGAAATGCATCCAGCGAGTCAAGTGGGAAACAGACAGACATAAGAGAAGGTACCCCATAAACACAATTACCTGAAGTTTGTATGGCAGGAGACTCCCCTGCCATAAAAGAAGAAGAGATGGTATTGTTTGGCAGAAGAGTTCCCTGCCCGAGGTACGATCAAATCTGTTGATTTTGCTTCTTTTAACATAGCATTAAGATATGTAGATCAGGTGATATAAGTATGTCTAGCACAGAATACCCTTCCTTTTCCTGTCCTATGTTTAATGTACAGTATTTCATCTTACAGCTTTTTAGAAAACATAATGGCTAGTTGCTGACATAGCTGAAGAAACATTAAAAATTCATCTTCTTACCTAAAACATTATTGGTCCAAACCTTTGATCTGAACTCTAAAAGAGACCACCAAGTCAGAAGATAAATGCACCCAGTGTACACCAATCAAGTTAGATGCAATAGTTAGACAAGGACAGAGCCATGGAGTAAACAAAAAATAGATGAAAAGAAAACTGTTACTGCAAGCAAAACATGAATGGGGTATAGCTGCCAGACAAGTATGCTAAGGAGAAACCTTAAATGGTCCTCATAATATATATAGTATAGTATATTGAAAATTTCAGAATTAAGAGAAGCCTAACACAAAGATCTAGGCCCAGATGAGAGACTCGAGGCACCACCAAGAGCTCGAGAGGAGCCTAGCTACATTGGAAGCAATGCCAAACAGTTTCAGAAAAGTTATCTCTGGGCCCGACTGTTATAGAAAATATGCAAGCGAAGAAAACCCAGAAACATGGCAGTAATGGTTAGTTATACTTGGTGGTATGCAAAATTTTTGTGCACCATAAAGCAAATACAGACACAATGAACACCCTCCTGTACCGAGACACACTTAACACCCTTGCATTGCTCAAGGGTTACATACATCATTATTTGTGAGTGCACACACAAATAGTATTCAAAAGAAGGTTTTGTCTTTCTGTATAGTTAAAAACCAATGCCCTGAGCACAGGAACATTGTCCCAACAATCTTATGTCACTTTTCAAGGTGGCATATATTTATTGGAGTCCCCAAATAACAACTAGGAACACTGTGTACCAATGGAAGTTTCCAATATTGCAAAGTACCTAAAACAACACATGCACTGGCACCACTGGTCAAGCATCATGATGAAGTTATGTGCATTGCAAGTGTCAAGGAAAACCCAGACAAAAGAAAACTTATTTAATTAGCCGCTGCAAAATTAGCGAGATGGTGAGTGGATGCCAGGAATAAAAGTGAGGTTGCTGATTTCTCCAATCATGTTGTGGCAACGCCTATTATATAGGTCAATGATGCCATGACCTACACTGTAGGGGACAAAGTAATAATTGGTGATGTCGATACTTCTAATTTTCGCTCTCTGAGGGCGTTTGAGGGGCATAATTCAATAATTTAAATTGAAGCGAGATGATCCTCTCAGTGGTGACTTAAGTAAAACTCTCCTCTCCCTAAATAAGTGATCAGAATACTTGCCAAGATAGTAGTCAAGGTAGCTGATTTAAACATATGTGCATAAATTTCTAATTAAGTTACTATATATACAGTATATATACCAAGTTTGCCTACGAGTTATTCTGCCCCAAATGAAAAATTTTCATTGAGGTTGGATGACATTTTGACTTTTGTAAATGACAGCAATACTTCCTGCAATGAAATTTACCGACTTCTAAGCAATATGCTGCATATAAATACAGATAATTGTTTTCCGGCATGCGTGCATTTCTGAGGAAATTACCCAATAAAGTACAGTACAGTACTTACTTGTAGATAAAGGTATTGTCTCTATAACTTCCTGCTTTAAAGACTTAATATTTAAACGCACAGCCATCATCAACGCTGAAAGGGAAAAAGAAAAACATAAAACTTATGGATAGGAAATAATTATAATTATACCCAGAATATATGTATACATATCTTGTAGGCCTGCAAATCACAGTCAAAGAATGTTGTTTCTTCATAATATTTTCAAAAATTAAATGAAGCCTAAATATATTGAACACTGATATGTGATGAAGTTCCACTGTACCACATCACCACCCCACAGTAATAACTGCTGCATCAGGATCCAAATTAACCCCTTATACTGCTTTGAACATCTTAAGAGAAAATGGTTGCACATGTGCAATGTTAATGCAACCTGTCTGAAGTGTTTTGCCATTGCTTTCCTTCTCTCCTTGTGGGTGGGGCTGTCCATTGGCATCTTACACGTACCTAAACCATTTCTCCTAGGGCTTGTGCTAGTGGTTTGTTTATAAATAGTTAAGAGAACTCAGATCTAGGGGCCAAATTCATGATTACGTTTACACTTTACAAAGTGTAAACATAATCAAAATGTGTGGGGTTTGCTTTAATAACTGGTATTTTGTATAGGGTGTGGCACACACTTCTATTATGAATCTGAGATAAAATTACACAAATGATTTTCCCATGGGTTCACTGTCTGATAAGAAGCAATATAAGTATTATACTGTACAATGTTTCCAATAAATACAATGAGATTTTTAGGGGCCCTAAAATTAAGAACTAGGTACAGTTGCAATTGGGCTAAATAGGAAAAAACTGTTTAACGATGGCAAGCTTTAAGTTTCCAGTCAATCAGGGATGCATCCTAAAGCTATTACACAAATGCAAATATTACAAATTGGTTAAGAAGTAAATAGTGTTGCAATGAGCATACCTGAAGACAGGAACTGTAATAGGCAAGCACTCCACTTTATATTTACTCTGGAAATATTTCCATAAAGTACCATTTTCACTTGCCTAAGATGATTTTTATCACTGTGTGTAAGTACTTTCATCAATTCTTTATTTTTAATGAAAATTAAATTTCATCTTGAAGTTTCTTAAATTTGCACCGTTTTACCTGTAATGTAGTCGCCCTCTTTTAATTTCTTCTTAATTGCTGATGGTGTGTTGGAGACATCTAGGTTGAGAGGATCAAATAGCCAATCTCTGTCAAGTGAATACACTAAAAGTCCTTCACTGCTACTTGCTGCCCAACTCTGTCCTTTAAAATTAAAAAAATAAAAAAATTATAGTAAATATATATATTATAGTACTGTAATTATAATTATAAAATAATCATTCATTCATTTTGACAGGGGCAGGAAGCCTGTGTATACATATATTTTAAGAATGTATCATGGTTCCCCAAAGGTCAAACTAATATTCTATTGCATCCTGATTACACCAGAATGCAATCGATGTATGATTAGTTTACTAATAACAGCGCTCAGGATTCGTAGTCCTAAGGTTCCGGTTTCAATCACTGGCGGATGTGGAAACAAATGGACTGTTTCTTTCACCCTGATTCAGTTTCTTTCAGCTTATACACAAGGTTAAAATTTTCAGTTTCTTTCAACTTATACACAAAGTTAAAATTTATACTATTAATTAAAATTACATGTGCTACATTTGTAAACAATCAAATTTCAATTACCTGTGGGTGAAAATGTGAGAGAGGTAATGCGAACCTCTGGTCTGAAGGCTCTCCGAGCCATATCACCATGTCTGGTTCCTGGAAGCTTAATGCTTACTCCTTTCTCATTTTCATCTTCCCTGTCTTCAATCAGTGCAAGATTAATTCCATTTTCTGCCATCTTTCGACGATTTATGATTTCCTGTAAAATACAAAAATATAAGTCGAATAATCTAATAATGCACTAGGTGAATGGTGAGACTTTGCATGTACTCCATATTCTATACAAACACTCATAACCAGTAAACGCAAATTTATAAATTGTTAAGCAAACAAGCATTCACCACACACAAATACATACTCGGACTAAATGAACCATTGGGTCAGCTCTGGATAAGCACTAACCATTACTAACCTATCTACATAGTGTTAGTTCACGGGTTAAATGAACAGTGCCCACTAACACAAAAGTGCAGATACATCTAAATTTATACAGGGATTTGAAGCAAACAAGGAGCCACTGGATCAGTAATTCAGGGATTTGTTTACAATGAAACAGCTGGGTAGAGAAGAATCTTTGAAAGTGATTACAATTTACTTCAACAGTTAAAGCATTCCAAGGGATCCGAATTCAATTCTCACTCCTTTCTCATTGATACATGGGTAAATGAACTTACATCCATAGCATCAAATGACCTATTTTGAGTGATTTCAAACTTCTTTATAAGGAGCTCATCTTCTATACTGTATATGCAGACATTTTTGCTTTGTCCTCCTGCTAGAATACACTTGCCATCTGAACTGTAGCACAAGCTGGTGAATGCTCTAGAAAACAAAACAAAACAAAGAAACATTAATTTATAATTTGGCAACTTTCTCTCAAAACATGCTTCATGGCAAAACATCTAAATTTATTGAAATTAGTAAACACCAAAAGGAAGATCAGCATGTAAAACTTCATTATTAACCATAACCATATCTTGCAAGGCTTTAAGTATATACAATAACTTTAGCACTTCTTACTTTGACTCAAGGTTCTTCTTTGCAGAAACCTTATCGGCATCGGCTTTTCCTGCTCCTAGATCATTTCTGCCAATGATATTGCCTTCCTGTTCACCAGTCAATGGGTTGAACATGGTAATCTGGCCATCCATCGTTGCTACAGCCAATTGTTTTCCATCAGGGCGAACACATACACAAAGACCTATGTCAAAATCAACAATAAGATCAGTTTAAAAAAATGTTTTCAATGCTGTACCTGTAATTTCTGACTCATATATATAAATAAAAATGGAAATGTTCGTTTGTTCAAAATCGCTAATCTCCGAAAGTTCTTCACCGATTGCTTTGAAATTTTCACACAATGTTCCATTCGCATCCGAACGGGTTTTTATATACATACTATATTGATGTCATGTCTGTGATGAAAAAAACATGCTTTTTTGAAAAACTGTGTTTTTCATGTGAGAGAAATCTTCAAAACCTCTTTACCGATTGCTTTGAAATTTTGACACAACGTTGCATTTGAATAGGCGGGTGTTTTTATATACCTACTATATGCATGCCTCATCTGTGACAGGAAAAAACATGCTTTTTTTTTTTAAAAAAACAGTGCCATCTGTTGGATGTAAGAGCAATTCACGCTGTAATCTCCCAAAGTTCTTCACCGATTGCTTTGAAATTCTGACACAGCGTTCCATTCGAATATGTGTGTTTTTATATACCTGCTATATAGATGCAATACCTGTGACAGGTAAAAAAGTTTTTTTTTTTTAAAGTGCCATCTGTTGCACGTAATACCAACACACACACGATATACTAAATATGTTATGAATTCCATTTCAATGTTTCTAATTGCATTGATAAATTGAATTTTCATAGATTTTGATTTATTTTAATTTTGATTTAATTATTTTGTGTGACATTGTATTGGAATTTGAGCTGTGTTGTTTACCTTACCGTTCATTTCATACGTATAGATGCCACACCTGAGACAGGCAAAAACACACCTGAGACAAGGTGCTGTGGCTCAGCAATGCACATGCGTTGCCGAGCCACAGCAACGTGTGGCCGGGTACAGCTAGTGTGAAATAAAACTGATCAATTACAATTATGAACTTGTCTTACTTTTCAATGGATGTGCAGAAAGTAGAGCCCTTCTGAAAATTGAAATCTCTGTACTGTATATCTTCATTTCTTTATTACAGACACATACTTAAACATTTTTTAAAAATTAAACAAAAAGGTTTAGTAGAGTATCATACAAGTGAAACAATTTCCTTGGATGAAGTAGAAATATATTTACAAACAAGCAGCATCTGTACCTAAAAGTCTTACCATCTGATGATAATGCAATAGTTTCTTTGGCTGTGGTGCTGTCAATGGCATTCCAAACCTTGACGGTGCCGTCCCACCCTGTTGATGCCATCATAGTGCTGCCAGGCTGAGAGGAAAACTGTACACTTACCACCGGCCCCTCGTGACCACTCAGTACCTGTATATTAAAAAAGAATAAAGTAAAGTGCTGTTATCTCATAGTTAACAGGACTACTACCAAAGCATTATGTTCTGAACAAGAACTGGTAGGGAAATAGGAAATGCAACACTCGCTAAATTTCCTGCATAAATTAACACCATGTTTATACATACATATATATATTATTACCTAATAAATTTTGAAAACAACATAAGTATTAAAGTATGGGTAATTTAGCATCGGGCAGATCAAGTTGGTCAAGCATAGTATGCATCCACTAGTGGAATGAATTTTAGACAGAGGTTGAGAATAACAACCTCCATTCACAGCTTCAAGAGCGAGTATAACAGAGCACTGGAAACTGGTATTGTGTTTATGTCATTGTGTCTACAGCACTCAACACAAATTATACGTGTACACATAACCACATCACACCATGTATCCTCACCTACATCAGATCATATACCCATACCCACACATGTAGTATACCTATACATGCACAACTGTAACATATATACTGTATACTCACAAATATACCATAGGGACACATGCATGAACAATATAACAGATCAAGAGTAACAGACAGGTTAATACTGTATTTAGATTAAAGCAAAATTTTAGAAACAACAAATTAACAAAAGAAACATCAAACTGGGAACTTTGTCCATTTTTAAACTTGCCTTTTACAGACAATCCCCAGTCAAAAGCCGTAAAACATTATTTACCTCTAATAACCTGCCTGTTTGTAAAGACCAGAGATAAACGTCATGACTGTCTTGGCCACCTGCAGCCACCAATTCTCCACTGCAGTCAACAGTAACACAAGAGAACTGTGTTGGTCGAGGTGATGTCAGCGTCTTGAAGTTTCTATACCGAGTTAGGTCAAATGCTCGCACAGTGCCTGAAAATATATCAATGAAGTACAGTACTGTATGATGTCGATTTATGAGTAAACCATTTTAAGACCCCCTCTCAAAACAATATATACCAGCAGCTTTAATTCTACTTAGATTATAAGTACACAGCAGTGGAATTGTGATTTAACGAACCTCGATTTGGCGAATCTCTGGTTGGATTAATTATATTTAATTTCACTGAGCAAAATTAAAATTTTGCTCAGTGAAATGGGACCTTAGAGCATCAGAAATATTAGGATACGAGTGGTAACTATTAATATGGCTCCAATCACAGTCAATCAAATTATGAGTTTTGTAGATGAACTCTACATTACAAAAATTATTTGGGCCCACGTGTGGTGCAAGGTCCGGGGTGGGAGGTTAGTGGATGCAAGGCGGGCAGATGTTTGCTATAATGTGGGAAGAGATGCGACTTGAAGGTTGTGGGGTGCATAATGTATGTGATTGAGAAGTGTGGTGGGTGTGTGGGCAAGTGCTGGGTGTTAAGTTTTGTTTTCAATGGGACTGAGTGGACATTACTATGGGAGGAAGAGAGAATGAATTTCGTTAAAATTAAATGGAAAACAGCTCCTGGGAAGCTGGACTGCCCATTTTCAGTATGAAACTTAATTTTCTGATCATACATAAAATGCTTCCAGTATTAATAAGTGTATGCAATGAAGCCTTATAAAGATATCACACACAAACTGACAAAACAAATCAAATAGAAAAAGATATATTACTTGAAAGGATTCCTTATGGTTATCTAACACTTTGCTTAAATTTGTAACATAAAATATGAGTTAGACAAAGTTTTGCTGATATCTTACATCAATAGAAACACAAAACAGTTTACCATGATAAACACACAATACACCAACCAAAAATTTGGAAGGCATTAAGAATTGGGATGAATTATTCTACAGATTCATGTAAAAGCACACATTATAACATCAGAACACACACCCTCACAATTCAACTTACTCCAGCATTATCGCTTGTCCCAGGTATGCGCAAGCCAATTACACAAAATCTGGGTTAAATCTCAAGATACACAAAATCCATAGGAGGATTCACTTACCTAAACTACTCTATTTACTTTTAACAGACTGCAGGAACAATAACGTTCAAAACAATAGTGCAGTAATCCTGCACCAAATATATATGTATGGTTTTCAAAGCTACAAAAACCTGATGCAACCTTTGTACTCAGATCAAGTAAATGGATTAAACTTTGATATTATTAGTTATACCTGAACTTGAATTAAAAGGTTGCGCTGTAATTAAAAATCTAACATTTTAAAGAGATGCTTATTAGTTGTCCTAAACATGTTCAATAGGGGAAAGAACATAAAATATTTACCATCGTGTGAGGAAGAGAGAATTGCTCGACCGCTCTGAGTAAACGTGAGACCTGTCACTGCTGCGGTGTGTTCAGAGAACGTCACAAAACAAAAGGAAGACTGCGTCGACCACAGTTTAACCTGGTGAAATAAACCTCTATCAGCTTTAAAATCAAACTTGTACTAGAATTAAGCTCATCAAAACTGCATAAACTTGAAAATGATGCTGTACTAAACAAAAATATATTACTCATTTATATTATTGTTTCTTAAGTCTTATAAGACTAACTGGATTACTAACATGCATATTTTAGTAAATTAATTTTCACACGTTACTCTATAATTGCAAATTATTTATTTAATAAATATGCTAATATGAAAATCATAATAAAGGGTGGTGACTAGGAGTTGTTAATAATGTGATGGAATCACTGTAACATCAATAACTGCTAACCATCAAAAGATGGAAAGAGAAAGGTGTTTAGAGAACAGATTCACTCCTTACCGAGGCAATTGCCATTGTTCACCCAGGTCACAGCTACAGCAGCTCTTGTCAATCTGTACCTCACAGTGATGAGGAACTTTGCTAATATTGTAGTCTTGCCATGTGACAGAGAAAGGGAGACAGTGACAGTACAGCACTTTGCTGTACTCTCAATCCTAGCTGAAGTAGGAAACATAATCAGAGACACACCAATGACTGGTAATCTCGCCATGAAACAAAAACTACAGCCCCAGATGCCCTGCCTCAGCAGAGCTGGTGCCTCAGCGAATGGACTCCAGAGCGAGGATTTGCTGTATCTCCCAACCCTGAAGTTGTGACCCGACTTCCACCTGGTGGCACACTGATGACACTAGCTTCCTCGGTACATTACAGAAATTCTAAGCAGTGTTTGAAAGATTTCTTCTGCTCTTTGGTATCATATCAAGTGTTTTTAGCGGTAATGGAGTGAGAGAACTCTCACTGTGTCTCTTATTCATTTGTGACAAAACCATCTAAAATGTTCTTTGTCATGGTAGGGTTCAAATTCAGTCAGAGCCTGACATGCTGGCAATCATCTGTGCGAAACCATGGCTCTCGCTAGGGCAGCAACTGAGAGGGGTCATGTTAAGACAGCTAATATTTGTAAGAAACTGGATATGACATTTGACAATACAAAAAGAATAAATATTAACCTTGCCATCCTCGCCACCAGTTGCAAGATTCTGACCATCTGGAGAGTAGATCACAACTCTCATGTTGTTGAAGTGGCCCTGACAAAGCAAAGAAAAAGTCATGTTTATCACACACCTTTATGATTAATGGGTTAAAAAAAGACAGTTATTATTTATATCAAAACAGCCTAATCTTATTCTGCTGCATCCTCAAGTAAGATCCAACTGTGTCTGATGAACAAGATCATACTGTTAGGCAGGATGGCATATCTGCCCCCAGCACCCCCAGAGAACAGCCAAACAAGCTCAAAATGACTAACTGTGATCTATTCACAAACTCAAATCCCTTCCAAACTCTCCCTTGATGTCACAAGTGACCACCGAAGGAGAAGTCCATCAACTACTTGTTGGCCTGCTTGGATGCCTGCTTTAACTGCCACTAGGTGGCACACACACACCCCATGCCCCCCTCCCCCCCACACACACATGCTAAGTAATTACATACGCATGCAGTAGCAGACTTCTTTACCACGAGCAAGGCTCATGATTTACTTCCCGGAGTTTGCTTGACCATTCTTTGTTTGCATTCCACCCTTCACTTGTTTCTTGATGACGAGATACAAAGGTGCTTTTGGAAGCCTGGTCGTCCTTTTAGGCATTAACCAATGTCAGGCTAGTGTGGCTGGTTCCTCTCATGGGGTGGATACCCGAAGCGCTTTGAGTATTCGTGAATGTACATCAACTACTCTTTCCAGGTTGGTGAGAGCTTTGCTTCACCGACTTAGACACTTCACTGACCCTGCAGACACATTTGAAAAGTCCCCTGCCTGAATGTTGCCCTCCCTGACTATGCATGATCCTGTTTATATATAGCACAATGGAGCTCACCAAAGGAAGCAAATAATGTAATTGCTCAGTAAAGTTTAATTGTGCTTGCTTTATGTATAAGCTACAAATGTATAACAACAAGTTTATGAAGACTATTCAGTTGTCTATATCTTAAAGAAAGTCTTGATCTGATCAAGCCATTTACCAAGTAAAATATGCAGTTGCATCCTATCACACATTACGATAATGAAAATAAAATGCATAACTACCACCAGGTTGGTAAAGTCTACTAGAATTATATTTACATTTCCATCATTAATGTATCATACTAGAAAGAAAAGTGGAGCACAAATAAAATAATTTTAGGCTACCCAGATTTAAGGTAAAGTGAATCTCAACTGCCCAGAGGCAGATATTATAAAACTACAGAGCAGTACCTGCTCCTGTAGTTACTACAGAGCAGTAACTAACTACTACAGAGCAGTACCTGCTCCTGTAGTTACTACAGAGCAGTAACTAACTACTACAGAGCAGTACCTGCTCCTGTAGTTACTACAGAGCAGTAACTAACTACTACAGAGCAGTAACAGTAACTATCTCATCATCAGGCCTAGAAAGGTAACATTAAACAAAAAATTGACCTGAACTCAGGAATGTCAAATAAATCATATTTCGAACAGATGCCATAATATAACCAGATGCCTTTGATATCATAGTACAGTACATGGATGGTACTTCCAGCCTGACAGATGGAAGGAAATACAGTATACAGTATTTTTAAAGATACAAAGGAAACCCAGAATTTTGAGGATCACAGTCAAAATTTTAAAATACCTTTGAAAGGGTAAACACAGATTGGCTGACTTATCTAAATGCATGGTATAGTACTTATATATATTGCCATGTTATTCTCTGATCCATTTTCTGTAATATATATATATGGATAACTATTAAATAGGATATTTTACCTGTTGCTTAAGAACATAGGATTCACTCTGCCATTCCCAGACTACAAGCTGTCCAAGAGAAGACACTCCAAGTGCTATCCAATCACCACTCAAGTTCACTGACACACTAGTGATTGTCTGCAAGCAAAGTATACATTATAACATAAAACTTTAAAATATCAATCTTAGAACTACTCATAGAGGCAACATTCATTAAGAGTTATACAACATGATGAGCAAATTAGCTGGGCTTTATCACCTCAGTCTCTCAATATTTGCTTACATTCTTTTCTTTCTTTAATCATAAGCCTTAAACTGAAGTGTAGACATTAAAGCAGTAAGCAAATCACAGAGTGCAAGGATGAATGCCCCTTACAGTATGCATCAAGACTATTTTCTCCATTCCCAACTAAATTAAGTTACAAAGTCACTACTTTGCAGACTAATCTTTAGACACGTACCTGTTTTGAGATATTGAGCGAGTGCACAACAGCACCTTTATCATTCATGTCTAACAGAAGAAAATCTCCAGTAGCAAATGCAACGACCAACATCCGAGTTGATTTATGATACTGTGCAGCAGTCACGGCTGCTCGTCGACCCCCTAAATGCTGGTCCATGAAGAGTCTCAGGCCTCGTTTATAAAATAACGTCTGATCTGACCGAGTGTCTAGAAATAAATACAAATCCATCCATCAGTTTATACAAAAGATCCTTTTCGATTTCATTGTTAGGATCAAGGCCAGGCAGGGCATTTGACATTCAACACCAACACAGCAGTGATAATTTAAAATATTCCTGCTGGGTCATACAGATACTAGGAAGTCCAGCACAGCCTGATAATGTATTCCATACCTATGTACACAGTCATATTTTATATTGTTATACACATGCATTTATACACATTTGTTATACACTAACAAATGAGATGAGCAGTATTATTTTATACAAACTGGTAACAAAAACATTAATATAACAAACTTAAATCCTGTATTTTCTTATATACTTGCCATCAATTTTATTTTGTTTCCTGTTCAACTCTTCTATTTCTTCCTGTGTTACAGGGAAATCATCCACTTCCTGTTCTGTTTTCACATTGGTCTTGTAAAGATCTTTAACAGGAACAAGACCATCAGGCTTAACACTACATTCCCAAATGTTAACATGACCATCTCCGCTAACCTGGAAAGAAACAGAAAATATGAAGCACTGAATGATCTAAAATGCCCCTTTTTGGTAGGCTCCCCTGAGTAGCTTCCTGTAGCGTACTATGTATTGATGAGCCATCCACTAGGCCAGATGGGATTGGCGAGTCGTGCATTAGGCCAGATGCTGGGATTGGCAAGTCTTGCACTAGGCCAGGTGCTGTGACTCGTGAGTTATGCCCTAGGCCAGGTGTGGGTTTGGCAAGACATGCATTAGGCCAAGTGGAAGGCTTGGCATTTTATTTATTATGATAGAGAAGGATTCTGAGTGAATTATCAGATGAAAAGCCTTAGCCTTAATCATAACAAGCAGGTACAGGAAGGGAGAATATCTCCCTCGGAACATGTGGGAAGACTTATTTTGCTAAACAAAGTCAAAGAGACTTCAGGACAAATGACACATTTTACAAATATTGTACAATAAGACTGATAAATGTATTATTGCAAATAAAAGTTAACACGAGTACAAATAACTAACAAGAAACAACTACCACTCACTGTACACAAATCTAGAGATTTGTCCTCAAAGAACACACCAACAACTGTATCTTTGTTCCCACCAATAGGGTATTCCCATAGATTCTTGAATTTTGAAAAGCCACAAATCCGTGTTGTCATGTCTCGTGATCCAATCGCAAGTACCCTGGAAGAAAATGTATATTTATGCAATCAATCAATTATCTGTAACTATATGCAAAATTCCTTCATCACTTATGTATCCTTGACTGGCATATAGCAAGATGACATGCCTGTTTATACACTCTGTCAACATGACCTGACTGGATGGCAATTTATATGCTTGGCTACTGTGACTTAACTGGTGACAGTGTGCTAGTATTGTTTACAAGTTTGTCTAATTTTTCAACTTACATTACAAACTCATTATGAAACATTTAACTTATGACACAAGGGTATCAAATATTTCTTAAAATTATAATAATAGAAGTGTTACATAGAAAAATATATAAATAAGAGAATGTTTATTTGAGATTGGAGACCAGATGCTTGGGGCTAGCCTCATTAAACTTTTGCAAGATTAATGATGATTTTATCAGGAGTGTTATGGGGAGGGGGGTCAGGGTTGCCCCTACGCCCCCTCGTGAAGGAGGATGGGGGGGGGGAACAGGCAAAGCCCCCCTCCTTCATGAAGTCTGTGGAAGTGAAATGTTCAGCCGGAGTCCATAAACTTTAGCATTTGAAAAACATATATTTATATTCTAAGGGCAACCCTTTAGTTACAGTGATTGACATGATGTATAGAGAAAATAGTTAAGTGATAGTGGAACACTGGGAGGAAGATTGGTTGGTGTGTGGAAAGGTAAGCGGGAGGGCAGAAAGGAAGGTCCGGGGAGTGTTTGGAGAGGGAGGTGGGAATGTGGACAGAGGTTGTGGCGAGATGTAGAAAGGAGATGGGGAGGAGGGGGAAGGTGAGGCAGGGTGTTTGGAAGGGAGATGAGGGGGTAGTGAATGATGTGTGGAGATGGGGAGGGTGTGTGTGTGTGACCTAGGTACCAGGTTGACCCAGGCAATGCCTGGTACCCCTATCTAGTAATGATTATATTTAAGCATCAGAGTCATGAGATCTTGCTACAGAAACAATGAAACAAAATATTCTCTTTCTTAAAACCACATTCAAATCCTGAAAATTCATAGGCAACATTAAAATAACATTATCAAAGGAGTGAAGCCAACATAACACAAGTCAAAATTACTAAAGAGACACTGACAAATAAAATAGACCGGCTATTTTTTAAGAACCAATGAATTACAAAACAATTATTGATTTTCTACTCTATTTTGTATCTACTTTAAAAAAATTGTAAGCAGTTACTTGTTTGGCAGTGTTCAGGGTTGCTGGTGAGCCTTTCTCACAGGTCTGATGTGATCTTTGATCTCCAGGTTTCCCTTTACCTCTCAAGTGAACTACAGTTTGTCACTGGTCCTAGTGCTCATGAGTCTGGTAGTCCTAATGTTTTCCAAGGCTTGGCTACCAGCTTGTAACATCAGGGAGTTACTGAGGGGAAAGGGAGTGGGGGCCATCTCGGAAAATGTCTAAGTTGAAACTAACCTTGAATCAAAGGACCAGTCCAAGCATGTTGTGTCATCATATGCCCCATGGAAGACTCTCTCCATCACAAATGGATCAAACAATTGTTTACTGGAGCCGGGAGCACAATACACAAACACTGAGGGAAGACAATAAACATTCTTAATGATTTGGTCACATTGAGCGGATGGTGGATCAGAAGAATGAATCAAGTGAAGTTAATGTATGTACTGTGCATGCCTAATTGTGTTTGTGAGAGGTGAACTCATGCTTACATGTTTACCCAGGTTGGTTCCAAGTTCGTCTACTCTTCTAACCTGCTGTCTTGTGATAACTTAATCTCAAAGCCTAGTGATCAACAATTCCTAATAATAGTGTTCGAACTCAACCTCTTCAACTTTGTCTCCAATAGCTCACTACCCCTCACAATGGAAGTGTCGTGTAGCTCTGTAGTAAAGGCAGTCAGCTCACAACTGAATGGTCCTGATTCAACTGAATGGAATAATTCAATTCCCTTCAGGATGAGACATTTGGGTGTTTCTTTGTACCCGATACCTCCGCTTATCTAGCAGTAAATAGGTAGCCAGGACCTAAGTGTACTGTGGACTGCATCCTAGGAAATGTTCACCATTGGTATAGAAGGCTTTTTATACACTTAACAGTTTTCCTGTCCTCAACAATGAAAAAACGTCTCTGGCTCAAGAAGTTCCTTAACTGTGTTAGTACTTTACCAGAGCATTCTTTTTTCCTATTTCCATTGACTGGTATTCATTAGGGTTTCACTCCAGTAGCAACTTATGTAACCACTTCTACAGCTTTTCCATGGCCAGCAGCTTCTATTTTAAACGTTTACTTCTAAAATAATAAATAATAAACAATAAATAATAAATAATAAAGGATAACGTGCCAAGCTATGACGACTATATAGCACTTAGAAGGGGTCAGGATAAGGATTTGGGATGGGACGGGGCAAGGAATGGTACTGAACCACTTGCACAGTCGGGGATTGAACGCCGATCTGCATGATGCGAGACCAGCACTTTACTGTCTTGCCCAAGAGGTTGGTTTACTTCTAAAATGTCTACTTACATCCCTACAGCTTATTTAGGTGTCCAATTTCTAACCCTGTTCTTGGTCTGTTATTGTTAAGCTTAAACACAAATGCATACATGTGATGACAAATTTATAGAAAAACTTTAGGAACGAGGAAGAGTAAGGTTTAAAAATTAAAATAGTGAAAAACTCCTTTACATATTGAGTACACATGAAACATGGGTATTAATTTAAAAATTTATTTACACAGAATACATTCTTAAATAAAACAACCGAGTGTTACTGTACCTGCATTTTCTTTAGTCAAAGCAAAATGCTTCCCATCTGGACTAAACTTAATACTCTTAATAGGTCGATTAAATCGTTTGCGATACAGCACGCTGCGGAAGTTCAGATTAATGATGTGAACCTCTCCTTCTGAAAATAGGTAATGAGGAGCAAATATAGTACTTATAAATGAGCTATTATTATTATTTATTATTATTGCCACATTAAATTATGTCGCTGATTTAGGCTAAACAAATTTCTTGAGGGAAATTCCACTGCGTACCACTTGTATACCTCACAATACAAATAGGAATTTGAAATAATCTAAACAATACTCTGTACATACTTACACTATACAGAAGACATACAGACTTTCAAAACATAAATAGAACCACAAAGGAATACATCAGAATATATATATAAAAAAAACATGCCACAACTTAGTGGGGACATTGGTAGTCATGTGAAAGAATGAGAAAAGCAAAAAATCACATGCTGTACAGTAAATACATTAACATACAAGAAATACAATTGACATCAAAAGGACAACTTGTAGAAAGTTTAATTTTCAGTTAGGTTTCAATACATTTTAAAATTCAGTGATCAATACAAAACTTTTAGAAATATTTAAAATGTTTTAATTATATAAATTTAAATGCAATTTAGATTCCCATATTATAATATCCCATACTGTTGAATAATAGGGGCAGAAAGAACCAGTTTAATGGTTCAGGACAGACCATTACATTATTACAGTACTGTACAGCCTTTATTTTCAGATGTATGTGTTGGGTGTCTAATTACAAATTAATATACTTACCCTCTTCTGCAGCAATAAGTATTAGCCCATTGGGAGAAAGAGCCAATGTGGTATAATTAAACCGGGCTTCAATAGGCAAAGTATGACAGCGGTTGTTGCGGAGGTCATACACGGATATTTTGTTGCCAACAGGGCAAATGACTGAATTGCCATCATGGGTGAAGATAATGTCACCATTTCTGTAAACTGTTCCGAGAAGATTGGAAAACTGAAAAAAGAGAAATTGAATTAAAATTATATAAATATGTAGTACAGTAATTTAATTTGAATATCTTTCATATATATTTGGTTGTTTCATATTTGATACAAGGAATCACATGATTCATTGTAGGATCCTGTCAAGACCAGCATTCCTCAACCGGTTTTCCGCAGAACCCCAAGGTAACTAGCGGTTCCGCAAGAAATAATGATAAAGAGGCTAATTCTAATAACATTTATTTTATTTAACCAGCATCAAAGACAGAAATCATCTCTTTCTTCAATTGACAATGAAATCCATGTGTTTATCTAAAGTACGACCTAGTTATTTATTGATGCGCAGTTTGTATCCTATACACAGTACTGTAATACCAATACCTTTAAATGTTATATTTATTTTGTTAAAAAGGGAAAATAACTTTTAACAAAAAATATTTGTTAATTGTTCTCTTGAAATACAGTTCGTAATTAAATTGGTTCAAGGAGTAAAAATGGATACAGTATACTGTAAAATGTATATAAATGATAGTGTACATACCTTGTAAGAAAACTTCATGTTTCTATACGCAAGTTTAACACCAGATAGCAACCTAGATATAAATTCACAAATTACACTGTGTTCTTATCCTGTAGTATGCATAGGATGATCACCACCTCATTACTTCACAAGCTTCAGAAATTCTGGAAATGGAAAAAAAATTCAATAGCATGAATATTATCAGAATTTTAAGACAAGCCATTGATAAATCTGAACTTACAAACATGTTTATGCTATACTGAATTTCTGTTTATTTATCTCAGTGTGATGAGTTTTACACCCAAAGCCTAAGGCAGACTATGAATTGGTTACAAGTACAGTATGAAGACAATCAGCAAATATTTTATCCACAATTATTGTACAGTACAGTACTAGGTTTTGAATATTTTTAAATTGTCAAATACCTGACCCATTAAAACCTCACTAATGATCTCATAACTTAGGGTCTCTATTTTAAAGACACACATCTTAATACAGTAATGATTGAGGTATAGTAATTTCCTGTACCACTGTTGGGTTCAGGAAAAGGAAGGGAACTATCAGGACAAAGTGCCAAGCCATTAAACTACATAGCACTGGGAGGGGAGAAGGATTTGAGATGGGACGGGGTGAAGGAATGGTGCCCAACCACTTGAACGGATGGGGATTGAACGCCGACCTGCATGAAGCGAGACCGTCATTTTACCGTCCAGCCCAAGCCTATTGTTCCAGACTTATGGGACACAATATAGCACAATTCTATATAAATGTAACTTTTTATGTATAATTTTTATTACGGTCCAGGATGGATTGAAATATTAACCTAACTTTTAATTGTATACATTTGGTCTATGTTTTCAGCAGCATTTATTGTGATTCTGAAACACTATTTATTCTGGAATTAAAAAAGCCAGTAGGTGATGTTTAGGACCGAGCTATGAGAAAGACATGGGTAGTAAGTATCTAAAACGTTGTGCAGGATTTGATCGTACTTGCAAATTGTACACAGGTACTTCAACAAACAATTTTTCCAATTGCTAAAACTTTATGTATCACTAAAGGCTATCTCATTGAAACTTAAAATACTGAACAATTTCAAGGATGTTGATCCAAACCATTTCTTGTAAAGATAAAACATATCACATACAAGTAGTAACGGCTTCAAGCTCGACAAGGTGAGGCAAAGTAACTATCAAAAGAAGGCGCCAAGCTGGGGAGACTATGTAGCACCAAAAGGTGAGGCAAAGTAAGTAGCAGAAGAAAGTGCCAAGCCATTATGACTACGTAGCTCAAGCTCAAGAATACAAGCCAGAAAACAAAGAGATGTTTTTTCTCCTATAGGATTGTAAGCCCATGGAAATGCCTCCTTGCTAAAGTTGTAAATGTCAAGATAATTTGCCTCATGGGCCTGTTTCCAAACAGTTAAGTGCCCCATGGGTCTATATCCAAACAGTAAAGTGCCCTATGGGTCTGTATCCAAACAGTAAAGTGCCCCATAGGCCTGTATCTAAACAGTAAAGTGCCCCATGGGCCTGTATCTAAACAGCAAAGTGCCCCATAGGCCTGTATCTAAACAGTAAAGTGCCCTATGGGTCTGTATCCAAACAGCAAAGTGCCCCATGGGTCTGTATCCTGTCCCATGAGAGCGATGGTCATCTTCTAGTCCGTTTAACAAAATCCTGGCAGGAAGACTCACCAGCAAGACTACACCTAACATGTCACAAACTACACGCACCTCAAACTCGTCCCATGAACACCTATGAGGTCAGATCATAGTTGTCTTGGGCTCAACACGTGTGGGTCACCTCAGCTCCTGTTGTTGTTGTTATCTGGATGTAGTGTGTCCAAAATAGTCCCCCGAAACTTAAGGCTATGATGTCACCATACGTCACTCACTCACACACACACACACCTTGTGAACGGTGTATACATTATGAAACACTAACAATAATGTCTATATTATTTTAATTAGCTTCAGTGGCCTTAGAAAAGGTTGGAATAGGATAGGGTAAATGACGTACGCTTAGATTAATATATTAACAGATTTGGTTATTGAGAAACCATGACGTTAACTGGCATAAATTTTGGCCCTTTTTGAACCACAGTGTAGAGCTAATTCACACTTCAAAGAAAATAATAATAATAATAATAATAATAATAATAATAATAATAATAATAATAATTATTATTATTATTATTATTTACAAGAAGGTACAATGGGTATGTGAGATTACATAAGATTGGAATTTTTACATTTTAGCAACGCCACTAACACGCATAGCGTTTCGGGCAGATGTGCAGTGAATTTTGTAACAACAATTAAACAAGACATTTATAAACTGCTTTATCAGTACACATAAAGCAAATAATTATCATAAGGCACCAAGGTTTATAGTAAGGGAACTATCAGGGAAAGCGCCAAGCCATTACAACTATAGCACTTAGATGGGATCAGGCTTGGGCTACTTTTGAGAGCCCCGCGCTCCCAAATTATCAATTTCGCTACTTGCTACTTTTTGGGTTAATTTAAAAGCAAGATGTGCTAATTTGGGCTATTAATGTTAAGAATGTACGATTGCGAGTTACATGAAAGTAACTAAGCTATAAATAATTGTAGTTAATCTAACTGAATAATTTACTCGAATAAGAGGGCAGAGCAGCGTATCATTATTTGTGTCAAGGCAACCCCCTAATAATGACGTCTCAAGTTAGGTAGCCATGTAGCCCATTTTTATATCACATCTGTTATATCCTGCAATATTTAATTATCACTTTATTAACACTTTAAATAATTAACACCACTTTTTTGGGTAAATTTAAGTTAAAGCAGAATTCCATAAGCAGGACTGGTGGGCTGAACTAAGATGATTTACTAAGTGGATGGCACCTATAGCTGATCCCTTCCTGTGATTGGCTGTTGTGTGAATGTCAACAAAGAATATCTACCAATGATATGCCATTTATTATACACCCCATATCGTCTTGTGGGCGGAGCTTGGAACCTCCTACCCGAGCACAACAACCCGCCTTATGGGTTGCTGTTTGGCTATTTATAGTGCGTTGGAAAAGCAACAGATGGCGTTAGTTGTATTTTGTAGGGTAATTTGTTATAAGTGTAATTTGATGTCAACAGATGGCGTAAGCTGTATCTTATGGCCACTGTTGACCAGCCAGTTGATAGTGTTCTTATCTGCCAACAGATGGCATCAGCTGTGTTATTATTACTTCCGAATTCCCTTTTAACACTGATCTACAAATCCCTTGGCTTATGATTAGGTTTTATACCATTTATGATAAGTATTAGATAACTGGAGTTCCGCAATTACTTTTATTTATCAACTGTTCAGGATATCATCATATAATGTCTGGTTAGGACGTACTGCTCTCGATTGATGAAGATTAAGCCACCCAAGAGGTGGCACGGGCATGAATAGCCCGTAAATACTGCTCTTGTAATATTATTCAGGGGGTGGGGGAATTATCAAGTGAAAGCGCCAAGCCATTACGACTATATAGCACTCAGAAGGGATCAAGATACGGATTATCAAGTGAAAGCGCCAAGCCATTACGACTATATAGCACTCAGAAGGGATCAGAATACGGATTGGGATGGAACGGGGGAAAGGAATGGTGCCCAACCTCTTGGGGGGTCGGGGATTGAACGTGGACCTGTATGAAACAAGACCGTCGCTCTACCGTCCAGCCCAAGTAGTTAAGCGTAATATTATTAAACAACAATTTCTGCATATAATAACAGCATTTCGCACTAAAAATACTTGAATATATTGAAATTTGGTAGTGAATTCCAATCAAGGAATCTCCTATGACTAAACTGTACTTTTTAATCATTTTTATGTACTTACTACTTATTATTAAATTATTAAGTACTTACTATAATAATTAAATAAATTATTTTATTTAATATTTAAATTAAATGATAAAATAATAGGTAATAATAAATCATTGTGTAGGGGGACAGGCAGCCAGTGTATATAAACAGAGAGTTAGTATAAATGGAATCAAGTCAGAGTGGGAAAATGTTGTAAGTGGAGTGCCTCAAGGCTCTGTCCTGGGACCTCTGTTGTTTATAATATATATAAATGATTTAGATTCAGGTTTGAGTAGCAACATTTGCAAATTTGCCGATGATACGAAAATCGGTAGGGAAATTAATTCGGAGGAGGACTCACTATCACTTCAAGTTGATCTAGATAGGGTTTTGAAATGGTCAAAGGATTGGCAGATGCAGTTTAATGCTGATAAATGTAAAGTTCTGAGGTTAGGTAATGATGATAGAGTTACAAGATACGAGCTAGATGGTGTTGTGATTGCGAAGTCGGATTGCGAAAGGGATCTGGGAGTTATGATTAGTAAGAATTTAAAACAAAAGGATCAATGCATAAATGTTCGTAATAAGGCAAATCGGACACTTGGATTTATTAATCGCAGCGTTAGTAACAAGACACCTGGTGTGGTTCTCAAGCTATATCTTGCTCTAGTTAGGCCCCATTTAGATTATGCAGTTCAGTTTTGGTCGCCATATTATAGAATGGATATAAATTCACTTGAACGTGTCCAGCGTAGGATGACTAAGTTAATTCCCCAAATTAGAAATCTTTCATATGAAGAAAGATTAACAAAGCTTAAGTTGCATTCACTGGAAAGGCGAAGAGTTAGGGGCGACATGATAGAGGTTTACAAGTGGGTGAATGGACATAACAAGGGGGATATTAATAGGGTATTAAAAGTATCAACACAGGACAGAACACGAAACAATGGGTATAAATTGGATAAGTTTAGATTTAGGAAAGACTTGGGTAAATACTGGTTCAGTAACAGGGTTGTTGATTTGTGGAACCAATTGCCGCGTAACGTGGTGGAGGTGGGGTCCCTCGATTGTTTCAAGCGCGGGTTGGACAAGTATATGAGTGGGATTGGGTGGTTATAGAATAGGAGCTGCCTCGTATGGGCCAATAGGCCTTCTGCAGTTACCTTTGTTCTTATGTTCTTATGTTCTTATACATGTTAGGCTTATACCAAGGTGCCACAAAGGTGCCACAAAGGTGCCAAATTAAAGACTGGGTGCTGCCGGGGCGGGCCCAAGGGCTGCTGGCGGGCCCAAGGGCTGCTGGCGGCCCTGGCCAGGCTGAACTTCCGCGCCCTTATAATCACCATTGTTTAATAATCTTCACAGGGAGAAACAACTGTAAATATAGGAATAGTTTATTACAACATACACGGTAAAGAAAACAGCTCGGACACTAAGGAAATAAAGCTGCCGAAAAAAACATTAAAGTCCACTTCAAGTTCAAGTATGTTTATTGAGACAATAAAAAAAATACATCTCAAAGGGATAGCGTAGCTTAGGCTATTTCTACCCCCACCCCCCCCTCTACTTCAAGTCCCTCAAGGGGCGCACAAATTCAGTGAGTACAAATACACAAATCACAATACAAGAATCCCATTTAACATAGCAGGTTAAAATAGGAAGCACAGCATATAAGTGTTACAAGAGAGTTACAAGTTACAAGGGAACAAGTGATATATATGTGTGTGTGTGTGCAGAAATAAAATTAATAAAACAATGTACATCGTGTAGTGTACTCTATATATCAAAATATATTACTTTGAAACCCATATCATTCACTAAAAAAGATTGGGCTACTCTTATTTCAAATTCGCTACTTTTAGAGCGTCAGCTCGCTACTTTCCGCAATTTAGATCTGCAACCCTGGATCAGGCATGGGAGACATCTCCCGCCAGGCAGGGTGCAGTCGCACCTCCACAGATCTCCAGTATCAGCTCTTGATACTGGTAATGGCTCAAAAGGCCCACCACTTATGGGCTATTCATGCCCGTGCCACCTTTTGGGTGGCTTAATCTTCATCAATCAATCAATGGGATCAGGATAAGGATTTGGGATGGAACGGGGGGAAAGGAATGGTGCTAAACTACTTGAATGGTCGGGGATTGAACGCCGACCTGCATGAAGCGAGACCATCGCTCTACCGTCCAGCCCAAGTGGTTGGACGGTAGAGTGACTGATACCACAGTGCTGCAGTTTGAGGTTTACTCTGGTGTGTGACGGTGAGAAGGTTACACTTGGAAGGGGTAAGAATAAGGATTTGGGATGAGAGAGGGGTGTCTTTTTTTTTTTTTTTAATGGTGGGACATTTTTCACTTGGACGGTCGGGAATTGAACGCCGACTTGCATTAAGCGAGACCGTCGCTCTACCGTCCAGCCCAAGTGGTGGTGGAGGAATCACTGGTTATTGAAGTATTTGTAAATACCGACTTCGAGGTTGCTGAGCGTGTTTTCGTGCTTCAGGAAGAGGTTAGCCTGGTGCCACCCCCGGGCGAGCGCTCTCTGCTCCTCTATATCAGGTAAAATAACATTTATCTCATCTTCGTCGTCGTCACTTTCGGTCTGGTCAGTCAACCTCTCTTACTCCGCCTCTAGCTGTCCCGCTTCTAGCTGTGCAGCCACGAGCTGTCCTGCCCCCAGCTGTTCCGCCTCTAGCTGTCCCGCCCCTTGCTATTCCGTCTCTAGCTGTCCCGCCTCTAGCTGTGCAACCACGAGCTGTCCTGCCTCTAGCTGTCCCGCCCCTTGCTATTCCGTCTCTAGCTGTCCCGTCTCTAGCTGTCCCGCCTCTAGCTGTCCCGCCTCTAGCTGTCCCGCCTCTAGCTGTCCCGCCTCTAGCTGTCCCGCCTCTAGCTGTCCCGCCTCTAGCTGTGCAGCCACGAGCTGTGCAGCCACTAGCTGTGCCGCCTCTAGTTGTCTCCTCTCTTCTGGCATCTCTGACCTGAAAGGGAGATAATCAGTCCTAAAAATAAGTGGGTCTACCGTACGCTTATCAATAAAATACTCATTACCATCATTTATAATTTC